CACTCACTTCCGGCCTACCCGGCTTTCGGAGGACCCGCCACACTTAGACCACGAAGGCCGGGTCCTCAATTGGATGCAGCCTCTTAATTTTGGCACTCCCGCTGTTTCCGGCCCAACAACAATAACGGTGACATTTAACTTCTTTTATAAACACTGTAAAAGTTTTTTGTATATATATGTATATGTATACCACTCCCCCAGCAGCCCTTTTGAATGTCTCCCTAATTCTGAGGTCTCAAGGTTGGCAAGTTTGCCTGAAGCGGAATTTGGACTCGAAAAGGCGAATGACATCAGACTTAGAGACGGGATAATCTCACGGTGAGGCCAGTTAGGTTTCCTTGGCCAATAAAGGGTCGGATATATTTTAATAACATTTGCTGAAGCAGAGCCGAGAGGATCGAGTCTGCGTCGTTTCGTGGCGTCGGCGGTTGCGGGTCGGATGATGGAGCAGTAATCTGTTTTGATTTTGATGATTTCTTTTGTATTGCCATTTTTTTTGAAAACATAAAAATTTCTTAAATAAAACTTTCTGTGATTTGTTCGTTTTTATTTAAATGTTTTCAGTTTTTTTTTTAAGAAAAAAGGAACAGAAGTTTACGGAAATAAAATATTTTGAGTTTTTCTTTGAATGTTTTAACAAATAATAAACATGTTTTATTTTACATTTCAGTTTGCAGCAAAAATAGTTTCAAAATTTGTTTATGGAAATAAAATGGCTTATAGTTTGTCATTTATTAGAATTAAAACTTTTAAATTTTATGCATCACGTTTTAAAATGTGTATAAAATTAAATGTAAATGTGTGTAAATGTTTTCAGTTCATTTTTCCACTAAGTTTTAAGAGATAATGAACAACATACAAGACCTAACTTTAACTACACAAACATAAAACACGCAGCTGTTTTTTTTGTTTTTTGAACGTGTGTGAAATAACAAAAATGTGTGTTAATAAGAATACATAAAATTCTGTTTTGTGTTGTTTTTTCCCCCAATTTTAAAATGTTTTCACTTCACATTAGTTTAAGAACAAATTGTTTTCTTATCATTTTACAGCAGAAATAAACGTCTGCATTACGTCATGGTAGCTACGGCCGTCTTTTATGTACAGTCTGTGAAGCTGTCTAAATCCAGAGATGTTAAAAATAAAGCCTGGGGCCCAGAACAGGGTCACCAAAGGGTCCAACCAGGCCCAGTGGGTGGCCTTAATGTGTAAGCATTCAAAGCAGGAGGGAGGTGGCACTTTTCACTCTATTCTGCATCATTATCGTCTGTATCAGCTGAACCACAGGTCTGAGTCAGTTTAACTGTCGGACTGAAAGGCATCACACACTCTGCGCTTATACACAAGTAAGGCAGTTCAGTCCAAGCAGCTGATTTACTCAGCATCCACACGGAGAAACTGAGACTTATTTTTCTCATCGGTTTTATAAACGCACGGTTTAGTAAATGTGAACATTTTAACATATTTAAGCTTCTTCACACTAAAAGAAGGTGATTTTATCGCAAGGTTATTGGGTGACAGCTCTCAGTGGTCCCGCCCATTTAAGATCATGCTGGAGTCTCTGTCTTAAAGAGAACTTCTGAGGGGCAGCCAATGAGGAGACAACTGGCGTTAAAACGGCTTATTTCAAAGAGAGGATGAGTTGCTGCACTGAGGCGGGACCAGATAAGGAGGGAGGGCAGAACAGGTCACCTTTAATATACACACAGGTGATGAACACTGAGACACTGAGCTCACCAAGGAAACCCTGCTTCAGTAACAATAACAACATCAGGATTTAAGTCCTGCACAGGTAAACTGTAGTTCTCGTGAGTGTCCACCAGAGGGAGGTACAACCCCAGCTAAACCATCAGGAGCCGCTGAGCCTGTCCAGCGCCTCCTCGAGCCCTCAGAGCTCCTGCAGACCCGACAAACTTCAGTGGACTCACTGAGTCTGTGAGCTCAAAGTGTGCGTTACCCAAAGCGGTGCTGAGAGCGACTGCAGCCGTTCCAGGCGACATGAATACGATGGATAAAATATTTAAGAGTAAGAGAAGAGAAAGTGAGCGAGCTGCTAACATCAAAGTGTCTGCTAACATACACTGGAGCAAGTTGTTTACACGGGGCGGTGGCACGGCCCTGAGGGAGGTCTGGCCTGGTTCTGACGCCGCTCAGCTCGAGCAAACATCACTTCACACAGGCAGGAAACACCACCCCTCCGCCCCCACCAGGAGCCCGGAGGCATCCACCACGCTGCTTCACCAGGAGCCCGACGTGGATCCTGATCCCCCCGATCTGCAGCTGGAGCTGCTTCTCCAGCAGATCTCCACGTGAAACTTTAGAAACCGTGAAGAAAGCAAAACTCCAGTCCAGCCGAACTGGCTCCACAAACCTATAAACACAAAAACATCGGCTGATTCTGAGCGGCTCCAAAGGGAACCTGATGAAAAGTTTGATTAAAACAGCAACAGAGCACTGAGCTATTTTCATGCACCTGTCTATCAGAGCAGTTTTTATTGAGCAGGTTTCAACTACAAACCGATCTGAGGTCACCTGTGAAGACATGAAACCGGACGAGCAGATCCACAGCTCCTTCGTCACATAATGAGTCCGACCAGCGGTCAGGCCGTTTTATCCTCGAGAGGCTGGAACAAACCCACTCTGCACTAAAAGACAACCCTGAAGGAGTGAGCGTGCCTTCCTGTGGGGTCAGGATTCAATGAATTCCTGAGTAGGAAAATTCACAGACGCTCCTGGAAGTCTGAGGTGGTGTTGGTGCAGCAGCAGCTGATCGGTGACGTCACACCGCAGTGAAGCGTTTTTGATTAACGGTCCAAACTGGCGGCTCAGATTTAAGGTGATTGGCTGTAGCTGTTAGTCTCCAGCACTCTGAGCACTGACAGAAAACATCAAAAACCTTTTAAAATAAACAAACTTTAACAAAGCAACGGTTTCAGGAGCGGTCCGGGTCGGGGGAGAATGGCAGAAATGTAGACTTGTTAAAGTTTCTGATTGCTTTTAGAAGAACTCGTCGAGCACATCCATCATCTCTGAGACGTCCACATTGCTCTCCATCTGAGGAGCTCGTGAGAGCCTGACAAAGCGAACCCTCGGTCTGATAAAGCTGAGCTACCGTCCTCATCGAGGCTCACAGACCGGACCAGCTCTGCTTTAATCTGCTGGTTTCAAAGAACAGAACATGAGTTTCTCCACCGAGCCGAGTCAGGTGACTCTACCTGTGCCCGCAGGTGCATGCTGGGAGTCACCCATGAAGATCAGAGTCACGTGTTTGTGTTCTGGAGGATCTGAGCTTCAAATTAAACCTAAAATCAGCACAACTCACATCAAACTGTCAGCGATGTGAGAGAAACAGGTCAGAGATGGTGTCTGTCTCCTGAATCCAAACTGGAAGCTGGTTCCACAGAAGAGGAAAACTGAAGGCTCTGCCTCCCATTCTACTTTTAAATACTCTAGGAACAACAAGTAGGCCTGCAGAGCG